GCAGGTCCGTGGCACGCCCTTTTGACCATTCGCGTCTTTGCGGGACTTTAATTAGCTGAGATATTAATTAAAAACTAATTTCGGGATTCGAACCTCTGACCGAACTACCAGTTTTCAGCAACTTTACCGCTCGGCCGCTGGTGGGCAAAGCTGTGTTCAGACGGGGGCGTAAAGGGCATAAGTAGTTAAAGCCGAGCTCTGTTGCCAAGGTAACTAGTCTGGTACGTCACAAAATCTGGTGTAGGGCTCATGGCATAGGGTTCAAGGTTTTCAACTTTACGCCGAGTTTCGCATAAGAGTCGACCAATCAGAACGAAGCTAAAACGAAGCGGCGTTCTGCAGAAGATTTCGCTGTAGCAAAACAAGCAGAGCGAACGTGAGAAATCAATCGAGCTGGAGAACAGCGCGGGAGAGTTGTAGACACATCCACGCATGCGCAAATTTAGCTTCTCTCATCGACCACGGCTTACACACCGTTCTCGCGGGTGTGAACGGAACTCCTGTATTTTATGCCCTTATGACTATGCCTCTATGCCCTTTACGCTGTCGTCTGAAAGCAGCCTAATCGGAACAAAATAAGAACACGATTAAATTAATTTTACAGTAAAAAATGTACATATAAGAATAAAAACTCATAAGAATACTTATAAAAGCTCACTGAGCTGAGTAACAGAGTGACGTCACACTCCCAACATCATGGACCTTATAAGAGATAGACTAACCTAATGGGCGTAGCGCACGTCGCCCACATGTCCGTAAGAAGGAATAGGGACGATATGGTTTACTTTAACACCGAAACCTATGGCGTTTGTATCACATAACTGTTTTTAATTATTAAATGTGATATGTTATATAAGTGACGAGATTAAGAAAGTCACAGTTTTTGAAAATAAGATTTAATATATCTCACGAAAGCTCTTTTTACTGCATTTTGCGTGCTTTCTCTACGCGTAATTTTTGTATAAACATCTTACTTTGGTAAAACTGTAAGAACTATAACACAAAATTTATGAACTTACTTTTGTGTGCAAATAAAGTAAAATGAAATAAGATTGATAGCACACGATACTTTGAAAGAAATACGGTAAAAAAAAAAAAAAAAAAAAAAAAAAAAAAAAAAGATCTGATAATTTTTACAAATTTTATTAGCATTTTCAGGCAGTGGTTTTTTAAAATCTTCAAAAGTACATTTTTAGATATTTTGTATTTCTTACTTGTTTATATTAATAAAAAGCATAAAAATTGCAAGAGAATTAAAAAAAAATTTCTGTAAATTCAGATTTAAAATATTATTTTCTAAAAGTAGTAGTTACAAATTTCCTTACAGCATAGGAAAAGTTAAAAAAAATCACCAAGGACTAAAAGCATGCAATAGCTTTATTATTATTTGGAACATTAATTTTGCTTGATAATCATTCTAAATTAAAAAAAATCAATCTCAGTTTAAAAATTAAAAATATCTAAAAATTCTAATTTGTGAAATGAGGCGCCACTACCAGCTTTTTCTTGGCTATTATAGGCGCTTCAATAGCCAACTATTGTGAACTTTCTAAAAGTCTTCCCTACTTCTCCGGATGTGGTCAAGGGGACAGCCGGGAATGCGTCAGATGAGAGGGAAAACCCATTGGGATTAGTCAGTTTCTTATAAGGTCCATGCCTAACATATTCTTGGCTTCCATTTTGTGACGTCATGCTTGCTTCATGTATTCTAACCTCCATGGAGCTATTAGTCTGGAAATTGCATTTTGCGTCGAATCACTATAAACGGCTGTATTACTTTTCATATTGTTGCCACCAATTATTATCGCCCTGTATTATATTTAAAGAAATTCATTAATGAAGAATCTGCATTAATGTATGCATGTTTCTGGCATTGTGGATAACAACAATATCTGGAGCCATTAAATTTTTAATAACGTAATCCTCCACCAAATATGGGCATCTGGAAGCCCTAATTTGGAATTTGTTTTATTATCTATTTCATATTTGGTCTGACATTAAAGAATTTTTGATTAACCCCTTGAGGACCAGCGAGAGGAGAACAAAGCTCAGTCGTGGGATCGAACCCGCTGAAATGGAACCGCTCCACCGGCCCACGCATTTTCAGCAGTTAAGCCTAATTTTACAAAAAAAAATTCAAATAAAATCAGCATTTTCATATAATGTCCTCAATTTTTGAAATTACCTCTGTAATGTATTAATTATTAATATATATTAATATAAATAACATCACATTAATAGAAATAAAAGAAACATGCGAAATATTAAAATTATAGCTATAAGCATGAAAACAAGTACTATACACATGAAAACAAAATGTAAAAGAAAATTAAGCAATAATTATTTGTAGGTAATTAAATTCCAATTTAATAATTCTGCTGTGTGTGGAATAATTCAAAACGAAAATCGACACACAGGACAATGGCGGCTTTTTTCGTCCAGCATATGCCGAGCAAGTAGGATGCATCACGCATCGGGAAAGCTGATACTTTCCCTTTCTGTAATAATTCTGCAAAGTTCCTTTTTAATTAACCAAGAAAGCCCATGTTATATTTTAAAATAAATATAAAAAATCTGATGTGTACACCACATGACTTCCTTGTACGGAATATTAAATTATACGCATTTTTCTTGCATTTCGTTTGAACTTATTGGGTTTAATTAAATCTACATCGCCGACACCGCATAAACCACAATAGAATAAATGCATTCTTTAAAATTCACTCTACTTATTTACCATAGCGACACTCTGGCGCCAGGTTCACTTAACAGTATTATGTTTCGTTCATATTATAACTCAGAATGCACAAAACTTATATAATTTAAAGAATTATCTAATCGTTGCCACATGTTCTATTAAAATACTATAATAAAGCTAGAACGATGTGTAAAAAAATTAAGCAAACAAAACAAAAAAGAAAGAGTTTTTCACAGACGATTGAGTATTTCTCATTCAATTAATTCAGTTCTCACTTCGCGACAAGGCAAAAATACATAAAAACTCAAAATATCTGTATTAAAAATTACGAAGCAAATCTCAATCGCTTATTTCCTCGAAAAAATTTCAGAAAGGATTAAGCATGATTTAATTCGCAATAATAAATAAAGGCGTTATCTTTGTTGTTGCGAAGCTACGTTTCTCTAGGTTGGCAACAAATCCACTATTCTGCTGTTTCAAATGTAAACAAGCAATGGCCGCCATCAAAAACATTATTAGGCTTAGCGGCACTTAAACAACTTAAAAATTGTTGATAATTCTAAAAATATTGCATCCAGATTTACTAAAGGCATAAGAACCTTAACCGAAAGATAAGAACAACATAATTCAATCATTTTTAAAGCAAAAAATGTACAATTTACAAATATATAAGAGTAAAGAAACTGACCTCACTGAGCCGGGTAACAGAGTGGATATATATATATATATAAATATTTATATACGTTCGGCGCGGCCGATTGCAACCAAAATGAAGGTGCACATCTACATGTTATAGTAGTCCTGTATTAAAAATCAACGTTATTATATACAAATTTTCAACGTTCTGATGCTACTCGTTTTTGAGTTATGCGAGATACGTACGTACGTACATACGTTCGTACAGACGCCACGAAAAATTCTCTTCAGAATTCATTTTAAAGCAGTTTTATAATTTTTTTGGAGGAAAAGAGTCTTCATTCTGTCCTTACGTACAGATATTACGCAAAAACATCGCTAAATTGCATTCGATAGCGGTCAAAATGGATATTTTCGTTGAAATATGCTGCCTGAAACTTTTCACGATTAGAATACTTCCATTTACTTCGTACAAGGAAGTAAAAAGGACAACTGGTCTGAGTTTTTCCATTACAGAAGTTTGGAGACGTTACACTCGCTACACAGTCAGCTACATGTGTTTTCCCACATTCTCTTAACAAACAAAAAAAAAAAAAAAAAAAAGAATACTTTGAGCTGGATGTACGAGTATTCCCCGACATTCTAAAAACGAAAAATGAAAAGAATAAAACAAAGACAACAACAACAAAAAACAAAACGAAATTCCTAACGAGATAATACAAACACGTCGGTGTCCCTTTAGCTTAAGGAAATGTGATTCCCAGTTTGTTTACACTAACAAATCTATCAAAACCAGAAGCACAGACCAGAAATTGATGCTCATACATGAAAGTCAGAAAGGCCACATGACTTAACCGATGTGAAAACCGTTACCATTCAGCACCATCTACTGGCATTTAAAAATTCAAATAAATCGTTCCGTTTTCAAGTTACGTAACGCGACGCTGGGCTGAATGAAGAGATTAATCGGAGCTCTTGGCGTATACGCGACGCTGGGCTGGTAAGAGTGCAAACTTTGCGTCGCGTATACACGACGCTGGCCCTGAACGGGTTAAGAAACTAAACGATTTTAAAGCAAGCAGTGACAACATACTGTGCGGAATAAAATATTTTTATCTCCAGCGCGCAAGGCTGTCAATCGGAAATTCTAAAGATATGCTGTTTTTAAATATTTTTAGCCCAAATGGGTGTTAGCCGAAACGCTCTCGAAGCGCGTATTTATGTGTAAATGGGGAAAAAAAAAGCCACTTTGGACTTTTAGTTTTTTTGCATTCCAAAAAATTTTGCTTATTAATGAAAAATCCATAGTTGTCTATTCAATAATAGGATCACTTGGGTATCATAAACGTTAGTAAATCATAATCTAGAGCAAAGAGATATTTCGTCCTTTTAAACAAGCCTTGTGGAATATTTTCAAGCAATACCTGAGAACTGATCATATAACTTTTAATGAAATCCAGGGTTTATTGTTACGTTTTGAAAATGTTTCATAAAAATTGTTCAGGAATATGGTATTACATTTTAAAAGAAAAGGAACAGCTCTAAGCAATAAAGACGATACATGAATTAACACATTGTTTGGTTTCTTCAGTATGCATCTTATTGCCATATTGAGATAATGTATTTGGACGATCAATGATGATAGCTGATATTTTTAATATAACAGATGAGTGTCCCGAAAATGAACACTTCGAGCAATGTGGCAGTGCATGCCCAACCACCTGTCATAATTACGACGATTTTCCAAGACCATGCGTCCCAATGTGCGTTTCAGGCTGCTTTTGCAACGAAGGATTGGTCAGAAACGAAAATAACATCTGCGTAACACCCCAAAGTTGCCCATGTATGTATAGATTTTTAATTTTTAATTAACATTTTTACGTGGTTTTTGTTAAGGAAAATAAGTTCGAGCTGTTGTTTTTATAATGAGCATGATTTAAAATAATTAACTGAGAATAACTTTAGCTTAAGAATGTGAAAAGTTTAGCAACATTAATATTCCCTTACATCATGTAAATTGCACAGCACTTAGTATTTAAATAACTTAATGATTATTATTCAAATGTTTGTGTGATTTCTGAAAGAGATTTATTCTGTAGCTTTTAGAGTGAGATTGTATACCATCTCCCTGTGGCATACCTGGGATTGAAGTGGCGGATGACTGCAACGGTAGATAACAAAATCACAAGTGCTTCAAATAAGTGTCTTTTAAAACAGCTCGCAAGATTATAAAGAACTAGATTAAGTTTTTTAAATTTATTGTCTCCAAAATATTATCATAAACAAAATCTGCAGCAAGCAATATAACGATTTAACAGATTGTCCTGAGATACCAGTACAATACTTGCTTTCTGACTGGCAATTCAATATCATTTATTAACTGCACATCGAGGACTATTGAAAATACCAATCTTATTAAAATAGGAATGGTATTTTCGATAGTCCTGAGTGTCCTTTCTGCAGTTTTAGCTTTATGTATGGTGATATTTTCTTCTTTATAACAAAGAATTCTATATTCCTGTAACAGAATGTTCTGTGCTCAAACGTTACCGGAATGCTAGAGATCACATGAGACTTTCTTCCCCCTTAGATGGCCCATAGACCACAAAACACGCGTTCCTGGGCCGGAGTCCTATCCCAGGCTAACAAAATATGTGATAAAAGTAGCATGCAAAAATAACGTAAATCCAGAATAGTCCTTGAAGCAATTCCTTGTAGGGTGAAAAAAGGATGGCAAATTTTTCGTAAAAAACGCTATAAGAAATGAAGCATATCCGTCGATGTCGAAGCTTGGATGTAAAGCACCGATGGACAAGTGAGAGCGAGGAGATGGGTCAAATGGGTGCACGTGGGGCGGAAGCTTAGCTATTGGCTGAAAATAAGGAAAGCACCAGAGCACCAGAAAAGAGACTTTTCTCTTACTTAAACTTTTATACTTTCATTTTTAAGTTTCTGTTGCCTAAATTCTCGTTCTGCTGTCCAGATTTTTGCATTTCTTGCTTGAATGTTTTCTGTATGATTTTAATCTGAATTTTATTTGTAACTTTATAAGGTATTTCTCCCACTTCCCTAGCGTGCCTTCGTGGTGTAGTGGTTCTGCACGCTGGGCCGGTATTCCAGAGGCCCGTGGTTCGATTCCCGGCGAAGACGTTTGCTGTTTTTCATCTTTTCTGCCTCTAAAAAATACCTAATGACTCTACAACTTATCGACTGCGGAGAAGTTTCCAAAACCATTTTGTGCACTGGGGTAAAGAACTTGATGTTCTTATTTAATGTTATCATTCAAAAGAGATGAAAAGGAAAAGAAATATCGGGAATTAATACAATAAAAGTTTGCTTAGTATTTATTTAGAGTCCTTTGTTGGATTCTTTCCCCTCTGTTATTATGAAACAAATCACTTGCCTTCGATATTGCATACGTTACTTGTGAAATGCCCAAAAATTTACTGGGGGGGGAGGAGTTTTTATAATGTGGCTTTAATTTCTATGCAAATATATTATTTCAACAAGGAAAACAATGATATTAATAAACGTATAAATAAAGTCAATATTAAAAGAAGAAAATAAAAGATGGTCTACCTCATCGGTTTTTAACCTTTTGGTTTTTAACCTAACGTGTACCATCTAAACAAAAATTGAAAACTTTCAGTACCACCACTACAAAGTACTTCCACCACCACCACTTTTGAACAAAGCTCAGATCGCATAAATTTACGAGTATTAGAGAAAAAACTCAATTAGGATGTTGGGGTTTTAATTTCTGAATTTAATAGATAAAAATACTTTGCTTTTTATACGTACCACCAGTGGTACATGTACCACCGGTTGAGAACCCCTGGTCTACCTGATAATGATGTCATATCGTTAAAACTGTGGACATTGTCAGCAGTACCTATCCTAGACCGTCGGCCGCTCACATGCAAATTAAAGCTGACCGTCCTTTTTTACAGAAATATATGTTTGATAATCATTTAGCTTTCCTTAAATTTGTCCGCTCACGTGCTGTGCACCCTCATGCTCTCCGCTAAGATAGGCCCTGCTTGTGAGATATTTCTTACATCGTCTAGCGTGGAAATCCGTTTCGGTTGAATTTAGGTTTCAAGATCGTGAGATTACATTGTGACCATGGTACGAAGGTTAGAAACTTCTACTTAAAGTTGCGCTTCAGCGTATTCTTAAAAACTATGCAAAAGTCGCCTGTTTAATGTTTTATTTATCATTCTTATTTTAAAAGAGGGCGCAAGACTTGTCGTAATCTGTGAAAATTTGAAGATGGTATCAAATCTATACCTTAGAATGGGAGAGTTTAAATATGATAGAGTTATAACTATCAAACATTCGAGATATTTTTGAGGTGACCGAATTCGGAACAAATTTTATGTAAAAAATATTTTTCAGCTCTATCGGATGGTGCAACCGGTTAAATTCCTGAATTATTTGTTTATTTCTAAAGCGAAGATATATGAGTAAAAGGTGCAAATATACATTCCAACATTAAATTAAAGAAAAATCAATCTAAATCGAATTTAAGAAATCATTTTTATATGTACACATTCACTATCAGCACAACACGTTGTACCAGTTTTCGTCTCCTCGTCTTTATGTTATGCCACAAAGTCCCATGCTCACAGATAAATACTTCACATACTTAAACAGACCTGAAAGTTTCGTAATCATCATCGTCGGGTAGTTCGATAGCTTTCCTTGTTAGACAACATAAGAACAAAATGCTGAAATACTGCAAAAAGAGTCCGATGTGATCTCGACCCACACTCTGGGCTATCGAAAATTTCAATGTTGTTCAAATGGTCAGCCAAGCAATCAAAGCCGACAGCCAGATGAAACGAAGTTAAGAATATTTCTTCCTCCAAGTGAAATTCCAATTGCCATTTTTCTGCATTTTTCGGGAATTTTAATGTTAAAACTATCGAACTCAAATTTTGGTAAATTCGTAGGTATTTTATTAGCCTTCTGTAGGTAAGATGGATTTATATCTAAGTCATTGGACAATGTAAGTAAGAAGCAAGAAATTCAGAGTAGCTTAAAGTGCTCTCAGCTATCCCGAGTTCTAAAGCGCAACTCAGATAAAGTCTGTTCTCCTACATTGTACTATAACACTGATAAATGACATTTTGAAAACTAAAGCGTTGATTGGCCAACTCACTATACAGAAACGTCGTCCGGGATATCGATGAAGCCGTGAAAAGGCAGTTTTGTCAATGCAAACAAACGCAGTACCATATTTTGAACAAAAGAGTAATCAAAGTGCGAAATATTATATACAAAAAATTTAAAACCTTAGCTAACATGTTTTTTACAAAGGCTTACGTACGAAAAAATTATAGTGTCTACAGAATTACTTTGTAAGGATCTTAAGTTTTACTAACGTTTAGTTTATTTTAAATCTTTACCAACACTTCTTATTTTCTACTTCCGGCCAGAATTAAAAGCTTTAACTTATTTATGCAAATTTGTCTGGCGAACGCCAAGTACTTAAGTTGTGGCTTTTTGCCAAGCGAGAGAAAGGAAGGAGTTAGTCGAAGCAGGCCGCTTGCCTTAGCAGTTTTACTCGGTTGCTGGTTGCCTTCCAGGCCAGAGGTTTAATCCTCTTGATAATTTTAAACGTATTGTAGTGTTAACAGTTCTCTGTACTACATACGGCTTCCTGTTAATATACGGCCAATCTTCCACGTAGACCCTTGCTTATTATTCCAAAGTTAAGTTAGAGTTTAGTTAACATTTTTATATTCTTACGTTCAGACCACAAGTAGTTGGTCTCTGTATTCCGAAGTACGGAAATTATTGTAAAGAGTGAAAAATAAAGGGTTTCGTATACCCTTCCTGTGTATCTTGTCTTCTTCCCACATTTATTGGACACAGCTTTAGTAAGCTCCCTGTTCCGAGTCAGGTTCTGGAATGCTCCCCAAGCAAGTAAGGAGAAACACTAAACCTGATAACTTTACTTCTGATAGGGGATAAAGAACTGAAATATAATTTATATCTAAAAGCTCGATTTCGATTTTAAAATTAGGCACTGTATTAAAATGAAACCTAATGATTTAGTACCTAGGCAAGTAATACACACAGAGAGAAACATTTTTTATTAGCTAGAGTAATGCTGCAAATATTCATATCAACTGAATATATTACAAATTTATTATATACCGAATTCTATCAATTAGCTGTTTTATTAAAAATAAAGATTAAAATTGCAAACTCTTAACTCATTCAGATAGTTAAGTTGTAGAGATATTAGGTATTTTAAAGGAAGCAGGGGAGATGAAAAATAAGCAAACGGCCTTGGCCTTCGCCGAGAATCGAACCATGGACCTCTGGAATACCGGCCCAGCGTGCAGAAGCACTACACCACGAAGGCACGCTAGGAAGGCGGGAGAAATACCTTATATACTCCCCCTTCTAAAGGGCGACTGGGGTTTTTAGGGGACCCTATCGCCAAATTCTGGGTGAGGAGAATCCTCATCCAACACCCTTTTAGTTTGGGCGCCACTGTAGAGACATTAGGTATTTTAAAGGAAGAAGGAGAGATGAGAAATAAGCACCCCGGAATAGAACCACGGACCTATGGAATACCGGTCCAGTGTGCAGAACCACTACACCACGAAGGCACGGTAGGAAGGCGGGAGAAATACCTTATAAAGTAATTGCAATTTGATTAAATCTGTAAATTAAGTTAAAAATTTCTTCTCATTTATAAATAGCAACAATCTAAGAAATGTTTATTGGCTATTCCACCATACAAAGCAGGGTTTCTTAAACGTTTTGGTGTGGGGACTCCATAATATTTAGGAAAATTTTGTGGGACCCCCAAAAGCATTGCACAAATCCAACACACGCGTGAGTGAAACTGTCAGCTTCTTAACTTATACTATAATATACTATTGCAGGTTTTGGTCATTAACTTTAATTTTTAAAATAAAATGAGCGTTTCTGTTATAAAAGAATGTTTTCAAAAATTTTCGTTTTCTTTTGCCTCTTTTGTCTTATCTTTACCTATTTTTAGATACATTATGTAAGAAGATTTGGTAATTGTGAAATTATTATAATAAGTTAAAGAAATATCAAAATTGTTAAAATTTTTAGCGACCCCCTACTGCAGGTCCCGCGACCCCAATTGAGGTCACGATCCAAAGTTTAAGAAATTCTGATTTAAAGTGAAGTTCTTTATATCTCTTATGTTCCAATCGTATTTTTTTTTATATCTGTATGTTATATTATGTTTAAATTAATTGTTTCTTTTATATCTGTATGTATGACAGATGTACTAAGTTAATGCTGCTTTTTTTATAACAGCTAGATGTCCTGAAAATGAACATTTTGAACAATGTGGAACTTCTTGTCCATCCACTTGTGATAACTTCGATGATTCGGAAAGAATATGCGTCTTGATGTGCTATCGAGGTTGCTTTTGCAATGAAGGATTGGTCAGAAACGAAAACAACTTGTGTGTAACCCCAGAAGCGTGTCCATGTATGTATGGAGTTTTTACTTTTATTATTTTAATTTACTATTTTAAGCCTATAAAGGCTATAAAGGCCTACAAAGGCTGCCTAAGTGCCAATTTTATTCGCACTTAGGCAGCTGAGGAAGTTTTTTTCTGTAGTTAAACCATTGAAAGTAGTTCTGTAAAATTTATAAATATTACACTGATTCTTGTTGTTTGACTTCTATTCGGCGTGTTATTTTAAAATAAAAGATACTGATAGTTTAAAAGCTAAAAATGAAAGAAATTAAAGAATGAAGCACATTTCTCTACGTGTAAGACAAAAATCACGATTACCAGATATTCGAAATTGACCCCTAAAAGTCTTGGATATTTCGGTTTTATGTATTAATTGAAAAATATCTGGAAGTTTTAAATTAATTGCTTCGAAGTCTGAAGGCGAAAAATTTATAATTTACAGAAAGGAGGACAAGGCCTTGCTTTCTGATAAAAATCTAGTAACTTTTTCTCATTTTATGATGAGTAATTTAATCAGCCATATTTTTAAAGTACCCGCATTTTCATAACATACCTACCGGTGGGTTTTAGCCGGTTCGCACTAGTTTGTCAAAACCGCTTCCTAACATTTTTCATTTCAGAAAAACCTGTTGTTAAAGTTAAATTATAATATTTTACCAAGAGACTTTTATCGTTATTTAGTTACTAATTATCGCTTGTTTCATTAGATAATTATTCTTGTGTTATTTAGACCGTAACACTGAGGAATATATTCAATATTTTAAATGTTTTGTTGATTTGATCTCGTGTCTTTTAAAGTTAAATTTTATTGCTTCGCACTGACTTTTATTTGATACATAGAACGGAATTACATATAAATCGTAGCTTTTCTAAGCAGTGAAATTTATCTGCGAAAGATGTCCTGAATTTGCTTTCTTAAATTATGGTAACAATACTAGATGAAGTGTACAGCAAAACAATTCAAAACCGGGCATTCAAATTTCTAGGTGTTTGATACATAGAGCGGAATTACATATAAATCGTAGCTTTTCTAAGCAGTGAAATTTATCTGCGAAAGATGTCCTGAATTTGCTTTCTTAAATTATGGTAACAACACTAGATGAAGTGTACAGCAAAACAATTCAAAACCGGGCATTCAAATTTCTAGGTGTTTGCTTCATGGAGAGTCTTGAACATCGTTATGTCATTCCCTGGAAAAACTTGAAACATGAAAAAGTATGTTTGAGCACTGGTACTAGGACAAAAATTAAATCGCACTATTTAATATTCAAATTTAGGCTTGCTAGTAAAAAAAGGCAAAATTCTGATAAATTGTTTTGTCAGATGTCTACTTGCTGCACATTGAAAATACTGGGACACTCGGAAAATGTTGTGAGGTTTTTTTTTTTTTTTTTTTTTTTTTTTTTTTTTTTTTTTTTTTGATGCATAGTACAACTAGAGCAGTACAAAAACACGCGAAATTTCTTTCAATCATTTAAACACCATTTTGACATATGACATTTTTGTCGTCTGTCTGCAACTGGAAAATGCCTTTTCTAAAAAGAGTCATTAGCTTTATTTGTATAGAAGTTATCGAGGTGATGTATGACAGTCCTCAAAAAAGTGAGCTCCAGACGTTCAGAAAGCATTGAAGTTACTGAAGAAATGAAAATCCATGGTAACAAGGTCTGATGAAAATGGATGGTCATCATATATCCTCCAGACCTTGGCTAAAAAACTCTCAACCAACTCTCTCAATCAGTCTTTGTCTGAGATTGATCGGAATGTGAGGCCGAGCACTGTCATGCTAGAAAACAAAATCTCGAAGTTCTGGATGTTTTGCTTCGATTTCTGCGTTTAAACCTGAGAACAGTATTTTTCCGGATTTATTATCTGATTTGGCGGCAACATTTCATAACAGACAAGTCCTTTCTCGTCCTTTGCAGTCACACCATACACAAAGCATTATATTTTTTCGGATACAGTCCTCTTATCGATGTTATGAAAGAAGGTTCATTTGGGTTACCCCATGATCTTTTTTTAATAACATAATTGTACAGTATCCTTTTCACCTTAAGAAATGAGCTGTTTAAACAATGGAGCTTCATTTCATTTTAAGAAAGAATCGCATGCCGAAATTTGAGCAAGGTAATTCTGCTGTACTAAAATGCACCCACATAGTATAGCGTCTCACATACCAATTCTTCTTCAAACGATCATGTATCGTACTTTTCGAAATCTGATAATTCTTGAAGTGTATAATGTGAATTTTCAGAAATAGCCTCTTTGAGGAGGTCCTTGGTTATTGACGATGGTCGTACACAGAGAGCATTAACTTTGTGGCTGAAATCTCCACCTTCGAACTGTGTTATCAGCAACAAAACTGCACAAAATTTGCGAACAAATTATACAGCTCAGTTCCGCCGGGAGTTCGAGTCCCGGCCACGGGCTGGCCGCATGGGCATTTCCCTGGCTTTCCCTATGTGTAATTTGGATACGAGCCAGTTTCGCTTAAAATGACCTCCACGGAACATTTGTCCTTTACCATGCAGTACCTAATGGCGGAGCACGTAGTAAATTAAAAAATAAAAAATAAAAAAAAAAAAAAAATACAACACAGATTTACACAGTATATAGCACAAATTTTACGAGCGATCTGACTAGCATAGATTTGGCTTATTCACTTATGTCAAAGCACTAAAGTGTTATCTGCCTAAGGAGAGGGATGCCTTTGCGGGGAACGTTTTAAGAAAAAGTGGCTCGCAGCTAAGTTACACACGAAAAAACCACGAAAACGTCTAAGCAGACAGACCGTTCGCCGGGATTCGAATCGCGGAACAAATTACCAGTGCTCAGAGAGTCAGAGAGATTTTACCGCTCGGCTGCTGATTATCCTGACTAGTATTTTTTCTCCTCTTTTAGAATAAAAGAGCACAATATGAAGAAAGTGAAATTCTGGGTTCTGTTTTCTTAGCACTACCATCAAACGAAAATTATGCCACTATACATTCTAGAACTGTGTATATAGGCGAATGAATATCATCATATTTAAACACATTTCTTAATTAAGGTCCCTCCTAATCAGCAACCAAAAATAATTAGAAGAAAATGCGCTGCGATATGAAAACATCAGAACTTACTGGATGATTCAGTACTTTGTGGAATTCGTCATCTCAGCAAAACTTTCGCAAACAAGCCATTGCAAATTTAAGTCACATCTGCGAGTAATTAGTTTAGTACAATAACTTGACCACATCAATGAAGTGGTAAAAAAAGCTATTCGGAAAAATTTCTGATCGGTGGTAAACAAACTGGACTTAAAAAAATGTCTGCTGTTGGACTTACTTCTGATAATCCATTTCTTTTTGTCATTTTAGCTTAATTTAAGCATAATTTTCTTCGGAGCAGCATACGTTTAGCTTTCCAGATGTTGGCATTAATTTTTCAATTTATTTCAGCCTTTTCTCAATTGATCACACCAATGTTCAGTTTTGTTAGTAAGACGGCTTGCAAAACTTTTTTTATCTTTTTAATTTCAACGTTTTATTTGTTAATATTATTAATTACTGTTCTTTGCACTTAACGCATAGCAAAAGCATGAAGCAATTCTGATGGTTTTAAACATTTGCCCATAGCTTCTCGTCCCTCTCTGAAGCTATCCACATATGATGGGAAAACTCTTGGCAAGTGTGTAAGGATCTTAAGTTTTACTAATGTTTATTTTATTTTAAATCTTTACTATCACTTCTTATTTTCTACTTCCGGCCAGAATTATAAGCGTGAAGGTTTTATGCAAAGTTTGTCTGGCGAACGCCAAGTATTTAAGTGTGGCCTTTATGCCAAGCGAAAGAGAGGAAGCAGTGAGTTCGAAGCAGGCCGCTTATCTTAGAAGTTACTCAGTTGCTGTTTGCCTTCCAGGCCAGAGGTTTTAATCCTCTTGATAAATTAAAACGTATTGTAGTGTTCACAGTCTCTGTGCTACATACGCTTCCTGTTATTATAAGGCCAATCTTCCACGTGTATTATTCTAAAGTTAAATTAGAGTTTAGTTTTATTTTTATACTTTTACGTTAGACCCCGAGTGGCGGGTCATTGTATTCCGAAGTACGGAAGTTATTGTATATAGAGAAAAATAAAGGGTTTTGTATACCCTTCGTCTGTATCCTGTCTACTTACCACAATTAGTGAACATAGCTTTAGTAAGCTCTCTGTTCCGAGTCAGGTCCTTGTATGTTCCCGAAGAAGGTTAGAAGGAACATTGACCCTGATAAGTGTATGAGACATAATTTTCTATAATGGTGGACACGAATGAAGGGGGTTCCCAAGTTAAAGCCTGTCATCTCGTCCTTCTCTGAGAACAGACGCAGCGGATATCGCTCATACTGATCCGGAAAATCAGAGACTAAACTTCGAAGTTTTATCTGGCGTGTTGGAGCTGGATTTTATAGGGAGAAATGTTTAAAAGACTACAGCAGACTTCAGTTAAAGAAGCCTTCGTCAATAGAAGCCTACGGAAGTGCTCCAGGAGCTCGCCACGGTTGTTGAAAGGCTGTTCCAAATCTTGCCCTCTCGGACTGCCTGACAGAAACAAGGGAAATCCTGTCCCTATAATACTTCATCGATGGCATCCGTGATCCTGAAATACAGAAAGCTCTACGAATGGCGTATGTCGAGGATTTAAATAGCTCTCTAGTGTACATCATGAAATGCGAGGCAGTTCAGCAAGCAACTCGTACAGAAAGCCCCTCAATCAGGGCTTTCGACGGAAAGAACTCTTTCCTAAACTACAGCCACATTTGGACGGTTCCTAAACAGTTCTAAACATTCTGAATGACGTCGTAGTTCTGATCTCCGTAAGTCATCGAATTCTAAGCATAAAGTCGTTCATTACGACAGGCTAGCTCATTACTATGGCCATAGTATGCAGTCCCTCTAATACGTAGAGTATGTAATGTATAAGACCATGGTCCTATTTTCTTAAATTTGTTAGTTTATGCACTCAGTTATGGCTTTAGTATTTGATTTGTTATTTACTGAAATTACTGTTTTATTATTACATGATCTGCCTTAGTTGTATGTATATGGCTTCCTGTCCAGGGACTTACTGTCCTTGGAAAGAGGGCAATGTTAAGATAGAAGATTTTAGTGCAATCTTTTGTGAAGTTGTTGTATTTTGCTGCATATTATCAATTACATTTAGTGATCAATTATAGTTATTCTGTTATAATACTTATGGTTATACAGGGACCAGACCAAAATGTCGTTACGTTTGACGTTCTTTGGCTATTTCTCGCCAAATGTGGCGACAAAATAAGTGACCAGAACCGTTGTCAGCTCGGCGATATCTCGCCAAATTACATATGCACAATGTTAAATGAACTTGCCTCTGCATTATTACCTTTTCAGCATATTTTTGTCTCTTTAGATTTTTCATGTTAGATTACGCAGAAAAATACAACCGCTTCACAAATGACTGCACTAAAGTATGTATAAAGTAACTATGTACAAAATTTGTAACAATGCGTAATAATTTGTTGCTTTAATAACTGACATCAGTTAGTGTACATATATTTGTTAATAAACGTTTCTTTATAAATTATGACCCATATAGCTGCTTGCCAACAACCGAAGCAGCCCGGACCATGCTCAGCCACGATTCACAGATTTTATTTCAACAATGAAACTAGAAAATGTGAAGAATTTATATATGGGGGTTGCGATGGAAACAGAAACAGATTTCTGAGCAAGGCAGAGTGTGAAACTGCATGTGTTGGTGAGTTAATTCCATATTTGATAAATAAAATTATTACTTACTGCTAAATTACTTATGTATTATTGTTTATATAACTAGAATCTTAAGAACTAAAATTAAACAGTTTTTTCATTACTTCGAGTATTTCAAATTTTAGCGTTTAAAATTCATAAACCTGTATATATGTTACCGTGAAAGATCGAAATTGGAGAATGTCGACTTTCACCGTAGAATGTCAACATTCACCAAATACGTCGGTGAAAGATCGAATATTTCTTTACATTCTTGCACATTCGGACCCTCACCGGTGTATGTCGACAATCACAGATATACTCTGGTGTAGGTTGAAAAGAGAGGAGTATATGCACACGCTGCCATTCCAAAAGGAAGTGTTCCACAAATAAATGCAGTTGTAAAAGCAAGGGCCTCTTGTGCAATTCAAAGTGTCATAATAGTTTAAGTTGTTGCAATAAATAAGATTTGAATCATATAATTTGGTAAGTTTATAACTTCTATTATTTTCCTTTCTCATTTTGAATGAGTGCGTTTTTTCGCGAATGAATTACGGAGAAGGAAATAGTATAATATTTTTATATGTTCAACATTCACCATTAGTACATGGTGAATGTCGACATTCACCGGTGTAAGTCAGAAATAAGAGTATTTGGAAAATATTTCGGACATACACCAAGCGACTATGTGAATGTTGACATTCACCGGTGAAAGTAGATATTCTCCAGATTTCGGTGTTTCACCGTAACATATATACCAACGTGATCACTTCTTACATTTTAACAGAAGCATAATTAACGTTCTAATGAGAGGAGAGGTCAGGAACGTTTGTGTTTCTTACCAATGGCTTTATAAGTGTAATCCCACAGCACAGTCTCGTTTCACTTTTAAAGCGGAGGTTTCTTAGGAATGAACATAGGATGAATGTTCTTAGGGTGGATTTCTTCTCTTACCACTAACCTCTGGTGAACTATAGTATATTAAGGAGAACTATAGTATATTAAGGAGAACTATAGTATATTAAGAAGAACTATAGTATATTAACCAGTATATTAAAGGCCGTATCTATGCCGTATAGATACCTATACAACAAGTATGCAAACCATCTCCGGGGTTCGAAACGGAAGCAAAAAGGAAGCCAGCATCGACTATTACTGTAGTGATCAAGCAATGTTGCTAGAAATCTTTAGGCTAAAGTAGCAAGGAAAAGATGAAAAAATAGCACAACACTTGATTTATTGTGACATCATATGTTCGTGAGATCTTATCACGACTGATGTCATCATAAATTCGCTCTCCATGTGCAGTAAGTTAGAGACTGTAATTCGATTCTTAGTCTTTCTTAGTCATTGTCGAAAATCTTAAGACTACATAGCTAATTTTCCATTATTTAAATCACCATTTCTTCTTTTATCCAATTCTCAGTATATTTAAGTTACTATTCTTCAATTCATTTTTTTCACATCCCCTGTTAGATACAGTATTTGGATTGTCAATGTTGTAATACTAATGCTTTTGAGTTTTAATTTTTTTTTATTTCATGCTTTCATTTCACAGCTATATAACTTGCAATAGGATTTTGTTTTATCTATTTGCATTCTTTCTAATTAATTTTTAAACATGAGTATTTTAAGACAAGCATTTTGAAAGGAGTGCTGGATTTTAAATGTTAGTCATGACTCACACTTTAATTAACTCAACAGCTACACACTCCTGCTCCAAAAATAAGCAAGAATGTGAAAACACGGAATGAAACAAAAACTGTTTGATGGTTATGCGTGAAACTGATCCAAGAGGTTAGTGTGGCATTACTAGATCTCATAGCAAAGAATAAAGCAAACCATACAAAAACACATGGATTGCGACCATCATATCTCGAAAGATAAAATATGTTGGAAGAATGTGCAGTGGAAACATCACACTAGTAACGGGTGCTCTAGCTGAAAATGCTTGACAACGGCGAGGCAAGCAGGCAATATTGTCGTTGAACGCTTGTTGTGCGCCATTCCTGTAGTAATGCGTCAGGAGATCAACGAGGGTGCCTGGCGGCGCACTTGATCTGCTATCTGTCGTCCCAAGATGTCCCACACAAGCTCTATGGGATTCCGGTCCGGTGATCTAGCAGGCCACGGGAGATGTGGATTGGTTTCCCTCTCCAATACCTCCGCACTACTCGAGCTGTATGCGGGAGGAGATTATCATTTATGAATATCACGTCTTTACCCATTACAGCGATAAGAGGACGCACAAGAGAGGGTAGAATTTCGCCGCGATATCAGACGGCTGTAACCAGGTAGAAATCAGTGCTGCTGTTTTTCGCTATCTCATCCCAGCCCATATCAATATGCGTTGTAGAGACGTTGTAGAGAGGTTGTTTCGAAGCGGGAAATATGAAAAATGAGCAATGCCCTCGCCGGGACTCGAACAATGGACCTCTCGAATACGCACCGAGCGTGCTGACCATTACGCCACATGCTAAGACATGCTAAGAAGGTGGGAGAAATACCTTATAGCTTCTTCCTCTGTAACGGTTTCTTTCGACAATGTCTAGCGCTTGATAGTGTGTCAGTTATTCTCGCTAGATCATTGCCCTTCTCCATAAAAAATAGGTGACCTAATTGCTCTTGTGTCGAACTGCGATATTTAAGAGTCCAATTCAACCGTGCGATGTGGTCAAAGGAGTACAAACCACAGGTCGTCGGGCGTATAGTCCACCTTCATATCTTCCACTTCAACTCGACGCTACATAGTTTGGCGGACTATGGACCGTTCTGTAGCCTCATATGTAAACTGTATACTTTAATTCCCCTCTTTACATTCGTCCCTTTTCTTTAGAGGTTTTTGCTTAATTTTTTCACGATCGTATAACCTGATATGGTATCCTACTCACATGATACCAGAATACCTTTAACATAGAATATCTGCTCTCAACTTTTTGCTTTTCACAAGTAAAATTAAAAATCAAATAATGATATCTTTAATACAGGAACATACTTCTAGAGGACAGTTTACGCACAGGGCGAGTAAATACACATTTTCTAGTTTACACCTTTACAACTCTTACACGTCCATCTCTGCTTATACAGAGTTCGTACACGTTTTTAACGCAATAACACGTTAAGTGCTGTGATCACATTTTAGTTGACTTCCATATCTTTTGGTCAAACCTTACTTCGGAGTAAAGAATAGTATGTGGCTGTTAAAATCTCACAGTAGTTTAAGTGAATATTTTATCTAGTATAACAACTACTTTTCGTCTCAGTTTAATTTCAGATGGCAATTCAGAATCTTGTTATTCTTCGTTTACTTTGACACCCTTATAAAATAATATTTCACGTGAAAAATGCCGTCCTGCACAAATGCGCAGTCAAGGATAAACCGTCTTCTTTAATTATGCCTCTGGTAGCAGCATGATAAACTGATCCAGATCATACTAAACCCTCCCAAAGTTACTGCTTTTCTTGATCAAGGTCAACGAGCGTAGTGGCGTCGATGTTCTTGAATCAGAAGTCTAGTCTCAGCATATAGATGTAGAGCTACCTTTATAGTAGCCTTATATAGATGCAATACGTCAATGCCGCGAGTGTCTGGAAGAGAGAGGTTTGTAATAGATTTAGCACAATCATGGCTGTCTACTGTTTTTGCATCCACCTGCACATGTTCAGAATGGGTGCTGCAGCGGCGGAAAGAGATCGATATCATGTCTTAGAATGTTTCGAGAGCTTGATGCATGGTTTCAGCCAAGGCTATCAGTTCACTTGGGGATCAATTTAGAATGGTCTTAATTCAGACTAGAGTTTCCTTTAACGGAGACTAATGCTCGTCCAGACAGTGAAACGGTGTTAGTCCAGTAACGTAACTGCAAATTTATTTCATTTTTTATTGTCTTTTGATGAAGTTATATCATCTGACTAAAGAGATGACACATCAATATGAAGCTTCTGTCAAAGTCAGGAAACATCACATCCTGTATTAAGGTTTGTTCATTTTGTTTGCAGAGTATACAGGTTTTTCAGAATGAATTAAATGAGGAACATCAAAATGTATTTCCAATAATTATGTAACTACAAATGTGAAACATTAATTGAAATGACTACTTTCGAATGAAGCCTAGAGGCAGTCAAATTATCATTTAGTTCCTTAAGATGAATCTGCCTCACACTCAACCTTTAAGAAACAATGTAATTGCTGATTTTAACAGTTTAGTAATTAGTAGTGTAAGATGATTGCTTTATTAGCTTATAAGGAATGGTAAATATCGCAATAATTTGTGATATGTAAAAATCGATAGATCTGTCTTTAAATGTGCGTTTTTCTTAAAATGAGCATCGCTTTAAGATATTTTCCTGCGTAACGAGAAAGAGTTTTAACATTAAACTCTCAAGTTTTCAGAAAACATATGCATGAATTTGTCTATTTAAAAATACATAATAATGAAAAACTGAGCTGCTAATATTTCATACTTATACAATTTTAAATTGTAAAAATTAAAGATATTTGATAATACAGCGCTGTTTGGTGTCTTTCCACATTTTCAAAACATGTTTGAAAATTTGGAGAGTTGCTAAGCTGACTGATTTGGATTGCAGTAAGTAATAACTTTTGTCAGGAAAATTAATGAACGATTAACCTTTGAAAAATTACGTCAGAATAAACAAAAATTCTTGAATTAATGCAGGAATATATCTCTTATCAGTCATTCTTAGTAATTTTGGGGCTTTATAAATATTTCACATTTTATGTGATAATAAGTATGCTAACTACTGATTGAATGTAAAATTTAAATAAAAATATTCAAAATCAATACGTGGAAAATTTCAAGTTTACTTTGAGTGAGTGGATACTTTTCTGATATTTTAATATTACTACTGTGTGATCGTATTCTGTTTCATGATAAAAATTAATTAAAGCACTTTTCAAATGTTTAGATGCATGCCCATATGGGGGTGAAATTATTTTGCTAATTCAAATCAATTTGTATAAATGAATGAGTTTAAACACAAATAATTTAAATTATGAAATTTCTGATTTTTTACGAGACTAATTTCATTTTTCATTTTCATTTTTTTTCAGGTTAAGAAACTGAAGCTCAATAAAAGCAACATAATGCATTTGAATAACAATACCCAGTAAAGCTTTATAGAAATATTGTTAACGTTTAATAAATTTGCTTCTTTGTTTCTTGGAAATGCCTGTGAAATCTATGTAGGAATAATATTTTTAATAAAGTTTTCGTTCTGCTGCATGACCTGAAAGATGCAAATTATTGTGTCAGTAGAATAAGCTGTGTTACAGTGTGTAGAGTCATTAGGTTATTTTGAAGGAGTAGATGTGAAAAACTGCAATGCCCTCGCACGGATTCGAACCTGGATTTCTCAAATAGGTGCCCAGCGTTCTACCGTTACACCACGAAGATATGCTGAAAGAAAGGAGAAAATACCTTATAAGTATAATGCTCAAAGATTTTGGTCTTACAAATGGCATTAAATTAAGAAATTTAAGACGAACAAAAGTTTCTAAGTTAATATGCTACGAAACTATTTAGAGGAGAGTTTTAAAAATGTCTTACATTAGGCTATAGATTTAGCATCTAAATCGAAAATAGAGACTTCGCAAACCATGCAGTCTGCTTTCAGAATTACATAATTCAAGGAAGATTTATATGAATTGGATAAAAGTTAGTGGCAACATGCCGGCAGTTCGGAAACTCTTGCACAAATATTTTGCAAACCCTCAGTCTGATCACTTGCCTTTACTGCGATACGGTAATGGCTATATTGCTTTTCTGTTGCTTTTGTAACGCTTTCCAGTTAACCTAAGAGATTCTATGGGGAGCATGAATTGTAGTGTTTGCTTAACGATGCTTTTCGAAAGAAACAATATGGGAAAGAGAGGAACAATTTAAGACACTTTGTAGAAACACAGATCCGTGTAAGTCTGGAAATGAGGTGGCTGGACAGGCGTCAGAATCCTGGCGAAAGGTGGGGAGGAGAGCAGGGCTGGATTTCTGGTAACGTGACCATAACTGTGAATTAGATCCGATATGTTACGATGGCAACCGAATGTCCAATCAGACATGATTTATAACGATTGCACTAATGCAGAGAAAACTATTACGGCAGGGAAAAACATTAATAACATACACTGCTGGCCATTAAAATTGCAACACCATTGTGCAGGCAAGCCTCCACATTACTCACGTTTAATTTTTTGTTAATGGCGACCGTAGGAAGACCTCTCCTAAAGGGATGCAATGCTCTCTTCTGCTGCTGGAGTCCGGAGGTGAAGGACGGCCTTCTGCACTATCCCTTCCCTGCCGTTCTCGCTATTCTGTTACTTTTTTCTTCTACTGCTACGGTGCTGAACGCCATGAGAAATTTCGTGAACAACATAGAGAATAAATATGCCGACATGGTGCAGTTCTATGGGAAGTTTTGAAACTACGTATTCGTAATGAAAAGCTATTCCTGGAGTCTTCCCTCTAACGAATGCAATAAGAATGAGGTGTTGCTTCACGATTAATTTTGAATCCGTCTACTTCGGATTTCTGTAACTACGTGCTTGCGACGAAGAGCCTCTTCTGCCATTTCTTTACAAACGTTAATCCTGTGTTCTCGTCTTCTGGCATTCGTCTGACTATGTTCTCCGTTCTTCCTTCTCAAGAATTTTAATTTATGCAGATTAATTAAGATTACCGCGTTCCTATGAACTCATTGTGCATACGGCATTGTATGCGCATTTGGTCTCGTCGTGGGTAAGGATCCTGTTCAGTAAGTCTGGCAAAATTTAATGTGTGCTCTATTTATATTTATTCAATTAAAGGACTGATGTCTAGAAATAGGAATAAAATAATTTCGCATGTGATGTTTTTTAGTTATCATCATTCTGGGTAAGTATTTTTAATAATATATTTTCCTTTTATAGATCCCACATTTCCATTCTAATATTTTATATGTATCTTAGGGATATTGCGGCCACAACGCAATCTAAGTAATCATTTAAGTATAACAACCATGAATAATAACAACCATGAAGGAAAACAACTGCAAAAAAATATTCACTGTATGTAAACAGTATGAAGACAAAATGATTCAATTTGTAAGCAGTTTGGTATTTACAGGGGTGCGAACTTAGTAGAAACAGCTGCCAGCCCTGGCAGATAAAATGGTCCTTACCTGGTTAGGCATGGAGTCGAAATGGGATATAATAACAGATACGGGCAACTCCTTTCGTGGTGCTTCAAGTCTCTGCCACACTTCATTAACCGTGTTAGCTGGAGAATGATGGCGGACTAGTCTTCCAGCAACCCATGACCAGATGTTTTCAATGGATGACATATCTGGAGACCGTTCAGGCCAGGGGAGCAATCAAATACCCTGTGTATCTGTTTTCTGAGATTATATGTTAACAAGTTTTCATTTCGAATTTTGTCTTTAAAGATTGATATTTTGAGATCGCTGTTCAAAAATTATTTTTTATCAGTTGTTATGTATGGAATTTGTACAGGGGGCTCCAGGGCTGGGGAGCTTGTTAGGTTAAGAATGAAGCTGGACTTGGTCCAACGAGTATGGCTAATTTTGCTTACTCGATGCTTTCATACAGTATCGAATGAATTGATGTGCGTGTTGGCGGAGACGCCACCTCTCTCTATCCTTTATCAATATTATTATGATAAGGCAAGGTTGCGTAATGGTTTAATAGATCTTCTCAGTTATGATAATCAGTTATGATAATGTTTTTCATCAGCTTTTGCCAAATTTTAACTACAATCTTATACATCCAAGCAATAGATTCATTATACCATATGGGGTTTATTTTGACGAGATAAGAGAATTCGAAATATATACTGATGGCTCATGTTTCCAACATGATGGCTCTATCTTGTTGGAAGATGGCGTTTGGCAGGCTTCGAAGATACAGCAGAACTACTGGACGTAAGATGTCAGAAATGTACCGATCTGTGATCAAATTACCGTCGACCCAAATTAGAGATGTGCTTGTCGTGCACCCAGTGGCTGCCCAAACCATTACACCAGGTGCAGAGTCCCTATGCCGATATTGAATGCAAGCAGGTGACGTGCGGTCTCCTCGGAACCTCCAGAATAGTATATCAGAATACTGCACGCAAAACCGTGACTCGTCTGAAAAGACGACGTTGTGTCACTCCTGTATCCAGCTTTGTCGTTCGGCGCACCAGAATCACCGTCTGTCTCTATGCTGCATTGTGAAGAAAAACTGAAGTAATGGTCATCGTGTTGATGGTCCACGCGGTTGCAAACGTCGACGCACCGTACTTAGCGGATACTGGGCGTGCTGGAAACATTTCCGTTTCTTGATTAATGGTCCGTGATGTGGTTGCACGGTTTTGGAGGGCAGACTTCACAATATATCTGTCTTCTCGGGCGTTAATTATAGAAGGGTATTGAGATCCTGTATGCCGTTCAATATCACCTTCAGAAACCTATTGATTCCATATTAGCATGACAGTGGTTGGATATTGAACAGTGAGACGGGCGATATCACGGAACTATAATCCACACTCTCGATAGGTAAGGATCCTGCCTCTATCGCATTCCGACACTTGCTAGAAAGCATTTATTATTATTCAAGACATAACACGATATTCTGAGCAAACTCCGACCTGACAAAGCACTTCCCGAAGGATAAATCCACTATACAACTTTTCTTTTATGCAGGTCTTCAGATGTAGTTTCTTCCTCCTGTGTCGTCTTAAATGGGCGGAAATACTAATCATTTGCATATCCCAACCTCTTCTTCCTTTCATGTGATTTTGACGTGTGTGTGTGTGATTATGGCAAAGCCTCGAGGTGTGATTATGGCAAAGCTCTAAGGGAAACTGGCTCGTATACACATTACACATGGGGAAAACCACGAAAACGCCCATGCAGCCAGCCCGTTCGTGGGATTCGAACCTCGGACCGAACTACCAGTGTTCAGCAACTTTACCGCCCGGCCGCTGGTGGGCCCCGTGATTTTGACGCTCATCAGATCATTCCTTCTTGGTGTTGCAACTTTCATGACCAGCAGTGTAATAACACCGTGAAATATGTATACTGAGATGAAATGTATAATTTTTAGACTTATCCTGTAAATACATAAAGCTGGGAAGGTATCCGCCGATAACATCGCGGCAAAAACATCGCGGACGAAAACGTCGCAGAGAAAACAACGCAACGCGAAAACGTCGTGCTACAAAACATCGTGGGAAAAAACATCGCAAAGCGAAAACATCGTAGTTCTAAAACATCGTGGTACAAAACATCGTCGTCGAAAATAAAGCGGATCAAAAACTTCGCAGCTTAAAAACATCGTCGTCGAAAATATCGTGGTAAAAAATAAAGTATCTACAAATCATCGCATGGTGATAACATCATAGACATGCTTTTTTTCAGACTTTAATAACTGTAAATAGATATTCCCATAATAATTTGTGAGCGCAGGATAGAAAGAAGGATAATTTGTTTTTCATATTTTATATTAACTAATAATTTTTTGATGAGAAAATAAGAAGGAAACTTAAGCATAGAAAATTAATGCAACTTATAGCACTTAATAGAATTTTAAACCGACATAATTAACAAAGACCATTAATAAATAATTTTTTATAAAGTTTTTACTGGTAATTTTTCATAAAAAGTATAATCTATAAGTTGCATTTAATTTTCTATGCTTGAGTTTCCTTCTTACTTTTTCAGCAAAATTTATTAGTTAATAAAAAAATGTGAAAGTAAAAATTATCCTTCTTTACATCTTGCGCTCAATTATTATGGGAATATCTATTTACAGTTATTAAAGACTGAAAAAAGCATGTCTATGATGTTATCACCATGCGATGATTTGTAGATACTTTATTTTTTACCACGATATTTTCGACGACGATGTTTTCAAACTGCGAAGTTTTTGAACCGCTTTATTTTCGACGACGATGTTTTGTACCACGATGTTTTAGAAGTGTGATGTTTTCTCTTTGCGATGTTTTCTCCCACGATGTTTTGTAGCACGACGTTTTCGCGTTGCGTTGTTTTCTCTGCGACGTTTTCGTCCGCGATGTTTTCGGCTGTAACCGCTGGGAAGGTTTCTGCTCATCTAAATAAATTAGTCTTATTGTATTAGGAGGTGCGATGCATAGGGATGGATAAAAACCTGTTTTGGAATAATTTCACTGTGCAAATTTTGTGAGAAATTTTTGCGTAGGTTTGACTACTGTCTTCGTATTGAAATTTTCTTTAAGTTT